TGTGGGGTTCCGTAATTGTGGCGTCGAGTCGAATCGCGTGGAGTGCAACACCATAGGAATGAAGTAGCGTTACTCTACACTTCTCCAACATACCCGACGGCCATCGGTCCATTACCAACCGAAATCATTTGTTTTTATGGGGACAATTAATTATGCAGTAATCGGACTAGGCTTATCAATAAACTATGATCATTCGTGTCGAGGTCAAATGAAGATCGGTGTTGGAAGTACAAGTTGTCTTACTGTACCAATTAGAAACATCTTGGTCCATTTTTTCTTGCCACAGCTCGTTTTTCTGACACAGAAGTAATTGAGCAAGAGGGTAGTTCGTTCAGCAAACACGATGGTGTTCTTCAATGTATCATTGTTGTTTTCGACCAAAAATCCACGAATTTAAATTTGCTTTTAGATCTTTTAAAAATTTCAGCCGCAAAGTTATTTAAAACTCGGAGAATACCAGTTATTAAATTGTAGTTAAAATCAGCTTTTGAATGTGAGATTTGGCGAAAATCACGGGCTTTTCGTGTGAAGATTAAAGAGCATTTTGAAGACTCAGATGGTGCGGTGGTGAAGTGCGTTACTCCCAGGAAAGGACAATAGCGCGCGTTCGTTCCCCACCGCATACACCTGCGGTCTGGAGCTTTGCAAATATCTCAGCATTATATATAAGTTATATTTCGCAACATACCCTGCCATTAAAGAGGAAAAGGTAGTAAATAAAAGGATTAAGATTTTGAAGACTGTTTTCTTACATGCATAGATAGTTTATTGATGACATTGACAGCATCCATCGTTGACAGTTCAGCTGTTTAGAAACAGATCTGAGGCTATTTTTATGGTGACTCAGTGTTCAGCAACTTGGCGTTTCTCAAGGCTAAAAGGTTTTGTGATCATACCCACCGTACTCCTACTGTGACAGATTTTACTGTTGCTTGTGTGTATGTTGTACTATAGTTGCCGTTTCTAATATACTAACAATGTAGTCACAGCGGAATGATTCAGTCAGCTGTGCCTGAGACATTCTTTAATGTTGTGTATAATTGGTTTCATACTGGAGTGCGCATAAGCAGTTTCCAAACGCCAATCATATTCAAGAAAGAGGATGTCGTAGCGCTGTCGACATCGAGTACTTTGAGAAACATGCGGGAGTGGATGCGTACGTTTAAGCTACTATTCGGTTATGAGCATCAGGCAATTCGTGTATGATGTTTAGTAATAAATCGTCCTTTTAATGAATTCATATGCAATGTCGACTAGAGTTAATTGCATAGTAGAGCCTTCAAAACTCAATCCTATTCACTAGCATGGTATGTTTTCCAAGACATCATCCCAAGTGATGCTCTCATTTTTCAGAGAAGGAAAGAGAGAGAGAGAGAAAAAGAATGCCACATCATACGATGACAGGTGAAATGATTCAAAGATGCTTCCTGGATCTGGCCATGCTCAGAAACTGAAGGAGCTCAACTTTCGTACTCAGTGGTATTTTTAATGTCTGTGGTCTCAGATGTTTTATTTTCTTTTTTTTTTTTTTCTCCACTTCCTAATGCTTTTTTTTCTAGGTACTCGTTTATTCCATAGTGTAGTAAAATGTGGCCGTTTGCATAACTGTGTTTTGTCTTCAGGTAATCATGACTGTCAGTGCCGCTGCGACAGGCATTTCTGGAACGAGATGGGAAAAGGAAGCGTGTCTTTGTTTTGAAGATAGGAGGTGTTCCGTACGACTCAGCTACGAGTTGACGAGAAGGAAATGTGCTAATGTCCTTTTGTTGTCCCAAGTACTAAATTGTTGGTCTATTGGAAATGCCAACTGTGGTTCAACAGGCATACAAGCAACAGCAAAATCTGTTACAATACGAATACGGTGGATATGACCACAAAACTCTTTAGCCTGAGAAGCGCCAAGTTGCTGAACGCTGAACCACGATAAGAACATCCTCATATCTGTTTCCAAACAGCTTTACTGTCAACGTCATCAATAAACCCATCTATACAGGAAGGAAAGCAATCATACCAAAAATGCTCGTCATTGATATCACGGAAACTCCATGGTGTTCACGAATTATTGCATTCAAAAGCTGGTTCCAAGCAATTCATTTAGTTTCTTCTCGATTTTATATGTCAACATTTTTTAAATTTTGCCTTTAACGCCCTACATCCGATATTGCTTTTTCGACAACTGACAACTGCATCGTTAATAGCTAAGTAATCGAAAGCTTCACGGATTGACGAAGAGGTTTTTACCCTACCGCTTGGATCTCTCCCTTTATCTCTCTTCGCTTACCTTGCTCTCTCTTGCCCACTTCACCGACAGGCAGATTAAAAACAACGTGTGTAGTGTAGAAACGGCTAAGCATACAGCGCGTTGAAGAGTCCTAGGGCGGTCAATCGACTCGAAAATTTCTTCGTTACAACAGAAATCGCTGTGGTCCTGGAATAATTACAATAGCAAGACAGCAAATCTTTCTTCGGTCAAGGAAGGTTGGCAACTTCCTCTGGTGACGACATGAGAACATCATATATCAGCTATTTCGACTCTACAGGGAGAACCATAATATACCAGAATTCCTCACGCCGATGAGAAATGATAATAGAAGCGGACGGTGTTCAAACAATGACGCGAATAGAAGACGTTCTGCCATAGGCACGACGTGTGAAGATGGACTTCAAAGTGCCAAACCAAAGCTCTTCGAGTGATACCACCACCTTTGTTGATTCTTCGATTTTACAGACTATTCAGGCTTCTCAATGTCTCGATGTTGCTGCGGGCTTACTTGCCATTCCTTTGAAAGAGGCACTAAACAGAACTGAATCAACTGAAAAATTTGGATCATATCGAGAAAGAACTAGGAGAGATTGTTTGTAATCAGCATCGAAAAGAAAACTTGCTTTGTGTAAAAAGAAAAATTTCGCGGCTGTCTAATCGAGAATTCGTCGTCGATCATTTACGACCATCCACCATTTTGGACACGGAATTGTGGCAAAAACACATCAATGTTTTAGAAAAGAAGGACCTATCCTGGCTCGGGAATCGATAAAGAAGTCAACTACCGTTCTGGAAGCATCAGTGTTGACCATCTCGCAACTAGGTGATGACCAGTGAACTTGTTTGAAGTCATGTTGCTGTTAAGATAGTTAGGTTTTCAATATTAGTCACTGTCAACGGCGACTATCAAAAGAATTTTGAGAAAAGAACCAAGAAAATGGAGCACGGCGTGAGATGTGGGAGGGAAAGAGAGAGAGGCGAAGGGGCAGGAGAGGTTTTCCAAGTTAATTTGGTTGAAGACATGCGTATTTGAGACATCAGGATTTAAGGACAGGAGGTGTCTGAAGTATGGTTCAGGAATTGTACGGCTTCTAATCTACAAATAATCATTTGCCATATTCGCCAACTGCAGTATCTATCACCAAAGACAGAAATTGGTCCGAAAATTTTAGTGGATCCTACAATTTTTGTGCAAGAACTGGCTAGGAACTTTAGCTTGGTTGGTTTCTAAAGTGAATGATTTGTTCTAAAAAAAAGTAAATTTTGCACGACGTATTTGACATTAAAAGACAGAAATGTTCCACTGTCAGGATCGATTTCCGTTCAAGTGAAAAACTTTTGTCACCAAGGTTTCCACACCGAAATATGTTGATTCTTGTTGGCAAAAATCTGCAGAGCGTAAAGATTATGTTTGGGACCTATAAAGTTTTTCAAAACTTTTATGTGCCACATTAAAAATACACCTTGAAATCATGAATTCATTTCCGAGCAAACATTTAGCCTTGACTGCGCCTATTCCAGCTCTTCATATCCTTCTTAATGGAATCGATATGTTGTTACTATTTTTAGCCTTTTCTACACCTTCAAACTACCCAAGTTTAAGATTCATTGCTGCCGAGCCACATGAACTTCACTTTGCTACATGCCAATTTTTTCCACCCCTTATGCCCAGATTTTTCAGAAGCACGAAAACATTGAGACAGACATGGGATAAGCACACAGGCCACGTCCGCTCACTTTCTATTTTCTAGACTTTGTATAGCTTCCATAACATATTTTTCCGCTCAGTGTTGATCTTAAGCAATATTACTCAACATTACGAAGTTGGGAAGCACTTGCTGTCAGAGGGTGATCATGCTTCTCTTGAACATTTCCCACTTTTCTTTGTGGATTATAACAGTATAATATAAACCTGATGAGAACTGAATTAGAAATGCGATTCCTTAGTAGAATGGCCCATTTATCATAATGCGAAAGGGTTGAATGAGATCATCGTGGCTGAACGACATCCACCTTACGAGCTGAGGGGCTCTTGATAATCCATTGTCGCGAGACACTTATCGATCCAAAGTGTTAAATTTGGAATAGTCGAGTTTTAGAGCCATCAGAATTTTGACTATTCCGAATATTTCAACAAACAATGAAATCGAGTATACATAATCCAGGAAAATCGAATTTTGGAAATATCCATGGGAACTGAGATATTTGCAAAACCCCGGACTGCAGGTGTTTGCGTTGGGGAACGAACGTGCTATTGTCCTTCGCGGGGAGTAACGCGTTCACCACCACACCATGCGGGTCATTCGTTTTGCCTTTCTCTCAGCTAGTTATATCGATTAGTGCCATCGGCAATCACCCGTCATTTGCACGCGGGAATTTCATTAATCTTCCAAGTACCTCGTACAAAGTTTAGCATTTTAACACTTTCTTGTTCTGTTGTTTTGAGTCAAATCAATTTTACTTGATGCGTTACTCTTCAAAGACAGCCTTATTCGGAAATTATATGTACAGTACAGCATAGAGTGGGAAGTGAATAGACACAGAAATTATAAAAGGAATAGAAAAAATTCACGTTGAAATAAGGCGAATTCACATAAAGACCGAAGGGAACATGATCGATCTCTCAGAGAACTAAGCAGAGCGCAGTGCAATGTTTTTATTGGAAGGTGGTGAACTGCAATGGGGTGAAGAGTGAGGAATAAGGTACAAGAGACGGAATTCATTACGCGCTCGGTGCTCAAGGAAGGTATTTGCAGGCGGCGAACAGGAGGAAAATAACGACGGCGATCAGAATCACGTAACCGATGAATTTCGTGTTGTCAGGACGAATGTGGTCCGGCGGACGTGGTGCAGGCCAGATCACCACTGAAATGACCAGCAGACAGACCTCTCCAGCTATCGAGTGTGTAGAAACTTATTATTTAAGTGAAAAGTGTGATTTTATTTCAAAGGGGAGATTCAACAGTTACTGAAGGTGTACTAGATTTTATTCTCCACCATACAGAGTATGTTTTTGCGATTGGTTTCGACTGGCATTTTTGAAACGCTACTCACCTGGTTGTTGGGCGAACTGTCCACAGTGCTCGCACCGCTTTCCGTGGTGCTCCAGCGATTTTTCTGAAATTGAACGCAAAAAGATTGAGAGGGTGGTGTCATCAGTAATAATAAAATCTGTTCTGTTTAACGTTTTGTTTTCTGCCTTCTATAATTTTCATGGCAGGTTACTAAGCGAAATACAACCACAACGTTGCTGAGATATTTGCAAAACTCTGGACCGCAGGTGTCTATGGTGGGGAACGAACGCGCTATTATCCTTTCCGGGGAGAACGCGTTCACCACCACACCATGCGGGCCCTTCGTTTCGCCTGTCTCTCAACTATTTCTATCGATCTTTTTGCCACAGCAATCAAAATCTGTTCTGAAAATACAGTTGCGGGATGGAAAACCTACCCGCTAAAGCACCTTTGATTATGGGATGTTTAAGTGGTAGTAAACTCATCTACAAGGATGAAGAATACTAGAGCATTCATCCTACTGGACTCCATAAATGATTTGCAGGTCAAACGACGTCTATTGGATTTCGAATTGAGTAGTGCCATAGTCTTTTCACAGCCGAATAGTTCCAAGTCGATTATCCACAACCGTTAGTCCTCGCAATATGGGTCTTGTATTATGGTCTATGTTGATATCTCGAGGGATCGACAACAACTGTCCTCTATAGAAAGGGAACTGCCAAGTGAGAGTGGCACTCCACTCCAGAACGTTCGACTCGATGTTACTATTAAAACCCACGTGGCGAGAACGAACGGTTGCGAACAATCGTCTCGGATCTGTTCAGCACTGGAGGAAGTGAAGACGTCGAGACGTTAGCCGAAAAGTTTTATCAACCTCGCGTAAGCTGAACAAATTAAGAAATTGTACTAAGTATTCACGCCGAGGTAGGCTAAATGATGGGTTGTTTTGAAAAATATTGTTAGAGCTATTTTTCCCGAGTGTTCGTCAATTCCTGAGAAATCGTGGCCTATTAATGTCGCAAGTGGGTACCCTACCAAACATTTAGTACTAATTTCCCGACTATGGAGATATGGAAGCCGAGGAGATCCTGGTACGCTAGATCAAACCAAAGACCACGTATGCATTGCAGCCCATCTCCAACTACTGCGTTACGCGCGTTTTCGGAAGAGCAGTGTTATTACTCGGTGGAACTATCGATACGGGCATAGCACATTCTATCGAAGCCCGTCGTTTAAGACGTATTCTACCTAGATTTTTGGAAAACATTCATCAGAACTATCTTAACCTCTTTATTTATTGCCTGTTCTTTTTAACGGCAGGAAATGCTCCGAAATACGTCTACAATGCTGAGACATTTCCAAAACTCCGTACCGCAGGTGTCGGCGGTGGGGAACGAATGCGCTATTGTCCTTTCCGGGGAGTAACGCGTTCACCACCACACCATGCGGATCCTTTGTTTCGCCCGTCTCTCCCCGGAAAGGACGATCAATCCCGTTGACGGGTGGTTACTGATGGCAAAAGATCGATAGAACTAGCTGAGAGACAGACGAAACCAAGGACCCGCATGGTGTGGTGGTGAACGCGTTACTCCCCGGAAAGGGCAATAGTGCGTTCGTTCCCACCGCAGACACCTGGGGTCCGGAGTTTTGCAAATATCTCAGCATTATAGAAATTCATCAGAACGTCCAAAGTTTTAATACTTTTTTACCACTTTACTACTAATATTCGGCTGTGACTGGAGAATTTCGGAAAGTTTTGCGTAAAAGAACAATGTTAACATCTCAGACACTACGTTGCGCCGTTTTATGGTCAGACACTAATTTAAAATAGGTATATACGGGTTTTTTCACCTCTCAACGGTTTGCCTCCTCATCGTGGCTGGGAAGTGTTCCTAGGTGTCGGGCTGCGATATACAGCAGGGTGATTCATCCTCCTGGCATGGTTCCTCACGCTGAGAAGGAGTCTGACGTTTCTATCACGAAGCCCATCTAAGAGTAAACCAATACCAGGATCCACCACCGTCGTGGTATTAAAGTCGCATGGTGGCCAATCTCCCTCCCACCCACAAGGGCTGCTACTGCCTGTGGTGATGACCTAGGCAGACCTTGGCCAGGCTGACCTTGGGATTCCAGTGAACCACAATGGTTTAACCAGCAAATCTCCCAGAAATGGCCATTATGCTTGGGCCCGCACAACCAGTGAGGATGGCCCATTCAGGTATCAAGTAAGTAAGTATATACGGGTTTAAGAGAAAGGGTTTGAATCAGGACTAAAATGGCAAAACGATGATGCGTTATGAGGATTATTTCATGCATATCACCTATAACACAGGAGAGATCTTCCTATCGAGATTATGACCAGCCTCTCATTATGCTGTGGGTTACAGAGGCTTTTATACGATCGTATTTTTAACGAATCGAGATCAGAAAGGCATATACAATCGACAGATGGTGTAGTCATAGACTGTTCAATAAAATATTTTACACGTGTTAACTTTTCATGTACTCATTTATCGCCATATACACACACAAACATGCTGACTTGTTGGAGGTGTTGTTCCTTTACCTGATTGTCCTCCTATGTCGACATGTGGTCAAAATAGTCGGATTGGCAGTGGTGTTAACTATTATTTTAAGTAGAGACGTGTTCACAGTGTATTCTACAAACAATTGAGGATGGCAGTCAAGGTAAACAACTATTCAAGAAATCTGACAGTGCAGAAAAGGGAGGCACTGAATAAAACACCGTACTCGCGCGTTTGGTGACCTCTATAGAGAACTTCTTTGTACAGAAACTACACAACCATTAGCTTATTTGGAAGTCGACCATCCAGTTTCTAATTAACGGTTATTTCTTGTTTCTTTTTAACAATGTCGCCTTTGGATTGGTTATACAATCACTCATAAGCCAAAGAGCATTTTTGCAGTCAAAAAAGAAAAAATAACTCACGTATGAAGAGGATATCTAAAAAGATTAACCTTTCGATTATGAATGGTCTTCATAGTCTGTGGGTCCCAAGGAACTAATATGGTGTGTATTTTCGTTAGCGATCGTTGGTGGTCTTATTTGGAAGTGTATGACACAAAGCGATATCACCTTAGCCAAACTGTTTGATAAAAGGATAGAAGGATAAAGCTATCGGCGTTGATCAATCCCTGAGGGATACGCCATGCATTCAACTTCACTAAGTACCGTTACAGGTGACTGGACGCATATCTGGCCTTTACAATGACTCACGATGGCCTACCGATGTATCGAACTGGGACTAATTTGGTGACCTCGGTGAGATGGAAGGCTGGGTGTGCCATCGGCGCTGATCAATTCCACGTGTGTTGCAGGGCGCCTTCGACCACTGCGCCACATGCGCAACTGTTTGAGATTGTAATGAAATGAGCATGAACGTTATCTCGCTAACATGAAACGGCGCTTGTCAGGAATGAAATTTGTCACATGTCTTGGAGGTGATAATAACCTCGTCAATTCTTCGAAGAAAAAAGTAGGGGCGCAGACGCTTTCTCTAGCTCAAATAAGAATAAGATGACTCGCAGGACCAATATTTTGTCTATGAACTCATTGAGGCAACGAGCGTGAATTTGACAAGGGAAAAAACGGAAGACAATAAAAGGTCTTCCGCAAAGCGGCAGACTACACGACTAATGAGGAATTCTTTTTCCGAAGAAAAAGTTTTTCTGCATCCACATGAAAAACAAAAAGTGAGAAAAAATGGGATTCTTTTTAAGGTTTCTTCAACACTCACGGAGACATGAGGTCTTTTAGCGCACCTTTTGGACCTGATAAAACTTTGTTATACAGCTAGGATATGTTAGGGTCTCCTATCCTGGTATAGTAAACATTCTATTCCGAAATACAAGCTCCCCATACAATAGCAAATCTTGATGCCCACTGCTCGAGGCGACTCACTCCTTGAATTTCCATGCAACAGTGTAAGCCTACAAGAAAAGTATTCATGCGTGAATCAAATGGAAGCTATTCATGGATGTCTAGAGGAATTCTGCGAAATAACTTTGCGCTAGGAAATAGCGAAGGATGAGCATTTTCGTTCTCTAACACTAACAATTCGTATTCCCCGAATTTTGGTTCAGCCTTTACCACTTTTGCTCACAGAATAGAATACCTCTTTTTTCACTGATTAAAGTAAAGAAAGGGAGTGGAAGGTCTTAAGGTTGAAAATTCATGATGGGTCGTACGAAATCTGGGGTATGTCTCTGACATTCCATCACAAGAATATTACCTAGAAATGGTTTTCAGAATAGCCCTTGTATTTTGCTACATGCTTCTGGATTTAAAAGTATCGAAGAGTTTCTGTATAGCGGTAAGTATTTGACTCACTGTGCATAGTCATGCTCTTCTTTTTTGCGATGCTATTCGTCGGATCCATGTAGGGAGGAGGTGTATGGGGATCGACTTCGACGGCTGTGTAGTCGTGCGGCATCCTCTTTTTGAAACCAAACTAAGATAGTGAAAATCGCTTCAATTTAAACGGCTATTCAAACGAGCACCACGACATTTTAATCAATTTTTCTATGGAATCCCACAGAGCCACTGGCATGAACCACAAATGCAATCGATGGTTTGAATGCACTGCATTTCGCCAAAAACACGACAAACACCGAAAACATAGATGTGCGTAGAAACAGGTAACCTCTTTATTTCAATCAGATGAACCCTATTGCGCGTAAGACGATTGCTGAGCGGAAGAATGAAAGATAGCGAAAGGTGAGAGAGTTAAGAGAGGTCGTTCAAAACGAATAAATCCAAATACGAAATTCAAACAGCGAATAGAAAAAGTGAATTAGAAATGAAACCTAGAAAAGGATGAGAGATAAAGTGTTTCAGGTTCAACAACCCATTTGCTATGCATTCGACTTCCTCAGGCATTGTTGGAGGTCATCGTATGCATATCTAGATTGCACAATGACTTGTAACGACGTACAGATTTTTCAAGGCGGCTATGCTGCTGTTCGTTGGGTAGGAAGAGTACGGAGAGGCTGCTAAAATCTCAGCGCCAATAGAAGCTGCCTGGATTGCAAAGCACTATGGTGACGATCCGTAGCTACAATGCACGTACACTTGCATCCGACTCCTCGCTAGAAGCCTTGCTCATGCAAGCAAGAAGAATAAAAGACGTCTTCGGCCTGGCCGATGAAGAAATAAGAAACACGAGAAGATGCCAGATGGACACTTTCGAATGATCGTAGTCATCCAAATAGACAAACTTCTCCATCATTAAGACAGATATCCACCTACACGAAAGCTTAACATGTTACAATTGCTTCATGCCAGAATTTGAACTCGTGAAGCAAACCGAAGAAAGGGTCCGGCTTTACCATCAAGGGGCCTGGCTTAGAGTAAACCAGTACTGGGATCGATTACCATCCTGGTATCAAAATAGTCGTATGGTGGCAAATCCTCCTCTGATCCACAAGGACGGCTACTGCTTGCGGTGGTAACGACCTGGGGCAGACCTTGGTTAGGCTGATCTCCCTCATATGAGGGATCTCGAGCCGGATTGTCGCGAGGCTACGTGGCGAGTCCCCAGGTGGCGGATAGGGGGTTAATCGCGGACCAAAAGCGACCTTTGCTTCCCTGAGACACAGCTGGATCCAAGGGTGAGCTCCCTGTTTTTGCTGCGCCGATTTGGCGCATACTTTTTGTATG